TGACATCCACGTGTACCCTTGTGCAATTGGGGAACCACGAAATGTGGGGTTCACAAACTCCTCCAGCAGTGCACCAGCCAACAAAGTGACTGAACACCTCGACTTCCTAGACCCTTCAGGGAAGACGGTCGCTTAAGGAATACTGCCCGGCAAGGCAGTCCGAGACCGATAGCCAAAAAACTGCGAGCCAACAGTTGGAAGTGGTCGTGGCTGTCCTTCGATGGCTACGGTCCCTCAGGGTAGGACGGTGAGACGCAACCTACGGCCTGACTGTTGTCTGATTAATTACAGACAGCGGAGTATTGCAGCCTATTGCTGAGATCATGACTTTTTTAACCCGATATTTACGATTCTAATTGGAACCCCACCCTAAAACGTATGAATATTGGGAGATAAACAGGTCCACGTGCCACATTTTTCCCCACAGCGGCTGCTTACAAAGCCTTACGTAATAATGACTGCAACCACATCGGCGAAACAGGCGAACGTTGCAGATACGGCTGCACAAAAGGATGCCGGAGGCTGGATCTCAATTCGGTTTCCGAGAAGCGACCATTGAAGGCGTAGACCGTGGTTACACCGCCACCGGGAATGGAAAGGGGACTAAGATGTCAATTCTGTCCTCCAGCGCATCGACCTCCCGCGATCTTACCAGTTCTTAATCCATTTTCTCCACGGTAGGCATAAAGATATCAAAGATGGATTCGAACGGGGGCGACTTGAAAATCGACTTATCCGACAAGCTAATTCGTTACACAGCAGGTTCAACTACACTCCATTGACGTGACTACTAACCATACACGACGACCACCGACATCTCGACCGTCGCCTCCGACGATGTCCACCGTGTGCTCGGCAGCGAGATGAGGCGGGCACGATGATTTGTGCGTGAATTAGTTTGTAGGGAATGTAGGCTTGCGCAGCGTCTATCGCACTCTCTACTTCTCCCCCACCCGGGCTTAATGACAAGACGGAGTCATAGCGCTCCACTCTACACCTCCTGGTCCACACAGCAAATGACCAGAAATTTAACCAACAGCAACAGTGGGGAGGGTGGCAGGGGTCGCATGTGCGCGACGTTTGCCGGCAACTGGGTCTGCCGCCACACCCCGAAATTTTGGCATTTGTTATGATGTGCATTCCGAAATCGCCTGCCAGAATTCGATATGGCCCTAGTGCTGGTCTAGCGCGTCTACCACGTGGCCCGTATAAAGGTAACCACTACCGCTGTCGCGTACGTCAGGCAACCCCAAGCAGTCCCTGAGTGGAAACAAGAAAATCGGTTGGGAACAGTTCCGGCCAAATCCAACAGGATTTTGCGGTCGGTTTGTCTGTATCAGCAGACTCAGCTAGAAACCAGATTGCTGACATGCTTCATCCAGTGGTATATTTTTTCTTCCTTTTCACAGTCGACTCACACGAGACACGATCAACTGCCTCATGCATTTTGTGGCTGGGGCAAGATCTTTGTCTTTTGTGAAATTAAACTTGAACCTTGTTCCGGTCCTCCTGGTTGCGATATATATCATG